TTTTTAAAGAAAAAGAATTTAAAGAAAGAATGGAGAAAGAAATCCACTTTTTCTTTCAAGCGAATGACAATGAGTATAAATCCTTGCAGAACATTTGGGATACAGCAAAAGCATACATGAGGGGTGTAGCAATTTCGTACATGGCTAAGAGAAACAAAGAGAAAAAACAATATAGGATGAGGCTAGAGGAAGAATACAAACAGGCTGAAACACAATTTCAGAGAGATCCTGAATACAAAGGATTGAAAAACAAAATGGATTTAATTAAACATAAACTCTGTATAGAGGATTCGGAAAAGTTAGCACAAAAACTACAGGCAGCTAAGCAAAATAACTTTGAGCATGCAAATAAATCAGGAAGATGGCTAGCGTATAAACTAAGAAGGCAGAAAGAGAAGCAATGGATTATTAATTTGGAAGATGAGAAAGGAGAGACCCAGGGGGAGGAGACTATAAAAAGGGGAATTGCTCAAAGATACTATGAAAAATTATATAAGAGAAATGAGAGCGAAAATGTAAGAAGGATAATAGAATACTTAGGGAAGGTAGACATACCGAAGATTCCGGAGGAAATAAAATCTATGTTAAATGAGGAAATAAGAATGGCTGAAATAATCAGGGCTATAAATAAACAAAAGATCAATAAGGTGACTGGTCCAGATGGAATACCTGCAGAACTATATAAAGAACAACAAAGTGCACTCAATCAACACCTACTAGAAGTTTTCAACACAGTATTAACCGATGCTAAAATACCTAAGTCCTGGTCGGAGGCAAATATAATATTGATTCCAAAAGAAGAAGCGGAAAAAACACGGATACAAAATTATAGACCTATATCATTATTGAATTCTGACTATAAAATTTTTGCCTCAATAATGGCAGAGAGATTCAAAAAATACCTAGTTGATTTCATACATTCGGATCAAAATGGGTTTTTACCAAACATGCAGACTAAGCAGAATATAAGACCAATTTTAGACATCCTTGAATTTTATGAATTGCATAGCGATCATCAAGTGGCACTTCTGTTCCTTGATGCACAGAAGGCTTTTGACAATGTTAACTAAAATCAATGGATGTTGGGGGAAAATTTTTAAATGTGATAACCGCAATATATTCTGAACAATATATTCTAAATGGAGAGGCCACTGATAAATTCAACATACAGAAAGGCACAAGACAAGGATGTCCTCTCTCGCCACTGTTATCCATATATACATTAGAAATTCTTGCTAGAATAGTAAGACAAGAAGAGCAGATTAAAGGACTTAAGATCAAGAAAGAAACATACAAACTTCAAGCTTATGCAGATGACTTAGCATTTATATTAGAAGACCCAGAACAATCAGGCCAGAAATTATTCAAAATATTGGAAGAGTATGGGGATCTGGCAGGTTCGAAAATAAATAGAAACAAAACAAAGATTATCACAAAAAACATGACTAACATACAAAAAGGAAACCTCGAGGCAAAATTAGGTATACAAGTAATTTCCAAATTAAAATATTTAGGGATAGTTATTTCAGCTCGCTGCTCATCAATTAAAAAAGACAATTATGGCAAATTGGTCAAGAATATAAAAGTAGATTTAGACCACTGGAAAAATGTACATCTCTCATTACTCGGGAGAATTGCCGCAGTGAAAATGAACATCTTATCTAAAATGATATTCCTGTTTCAGAATATTCCAATTCAATTAGACAAGAAATTTTTCAAGGAGCTGAATAAATTAACCTTAGAATATGTGTGGTCTGGTAAGAAGGCAAGAATAAAATTAAAGGCATTACAGGATGCCAAAGAGAGGGGAGGTTTAGGTTTCCCAGATTGGGAGCTATATTACCAAGCAGCGGCCCTAACATGGATTAGAGACTGGATAACCTTAGAAAATAAAAGATGTTTACATTTAGAAGGTTATGACCTCCAGCAGGGCTGGCATGCTCACATATGGATGGGGCAAAGCAGAAACCACCAATATTTTTTAAGACATAAGGTTCGGCAAGAATTAATAAAAAGCTGGAATATAGTTAAACATCAATATTACACAAAGATCCCGGTTTGGCTATCGCCATTGGAGGCAGTCACATACCCCAATTTGTACAGGACAGACAAAGCTATTATATATAAAGACATCTTGACAGAAGAAGGTTATTTAAAACAAAAACAAGAGCTAAAACAACAAAGAATAGACATGGAGTGATGGTCTTATCTCCAGATACAAGCAAGATACATGACGGATAAGCAAGAATGGGGAATTAACAGACAAGATACGGGGTTAGATAAAATACTGCTAGGCCTGGAGAAAAAACAAATAAAGAATATTTATAAACACCTGTCGGAACATAAGCTATATGACGAGCATGTTAAAGAAACAATGGTGACATGGGCAATAGATCTAGGATATAATATAAATATGGATCAATGGCAGCAGGTATGGGAGCGAAATAACAAAATCACAGTGGCAACATCATATAAAGAAAACCTGTATAAGATGGTTTACAGATGGCATCTCCCTCCGGCCAGATTAGCCAAAATGTATAACGGATATTAATCTAAGTGTTGGAAATGTAAAAAAGAAAAGGGCACCTTTTTTCATGTATGGTGGACTTATAGAGAAGCACAGGTGTATTGGCATATGGTCTGGGATTGGGCAATAGAAATGACTAGGCAAAACATTCAATACAAACCGGAGACATTACTATTAGGAATACTAGAGAAAAATGTAAATAAAGAGGACACATATTTAATTATCCATATGGTCACAGCAGCAAGGATACTATTTGCTCAAAAGTGGAAAGCAATGGAAGTACCGAGTGGGGAAGCATTAATAAAGAAAATTATGTATTGCGCAGAACTAGATAGGATAACAAAAAGATTAAAAAATCAGGAAGAAACAGAATTTTATCAAATATGGAATAAATTTTATGGATGGAGGGGAAAAAATGGAGGTCACAGTAAAGATAAACTGAGATAGAGATTAGAAATGTATAGTTGTATATAGGTATATTATATGTAATTAATGTACAATATAGACTGAGATGTCAGTCAAAGACGATTTACCATGTTCAATGTTTTTAATCCTTTTTTTCTTTGTACTTAATAAAAATTTAATAATAATTAAAAAAATCATAAGATACAATTTATAAATCATAATATACCAATAGGAGAACATAGTAGAAAAGATGTGAGAAAGATCAGAATTAAAAGATGGAAAAGATGAGAAGATGACAAAGATAATAGCACAATACAGCCTACTACATGGGTAAATATCTTTAGGCATAAGACAGTGTTGTGGGAGTTAGGTGTTTAGCAGAGTGATGGCATGGGGACATGTCAAGGAGAAATTACAAAAATATGTAAACTCCAAAAATTTATTCCACATGCAGATATTTTTGTTTTATTTCATTATCATACACTAAATAAAATCTATCAACAAAAAGGGCTATGACGATATTATACACTGTATTTAATGTATCAAAGTTGGAAGACACCATAGCATTTATCTATGAAGTCTCATCAACTGCTCAGTGCAGGAATCCACATTAATGCATCCCTGTCAAATAGAAGTTGGCTTCATTTGAATCCAATGAAAGAGAGCCACTGAGCATTTACTTCTATTACCAAATTATAGCATTACCTCAAAGAATTGTTTTATAGAGAAAAACATATGAAACCTTGGGCTCAAAAAGGAAAGAGATACAAATCAAACAAATACATGAATAAAATTAGAATATATCTTCCTCTAACTTAAATATATTAATCCATGTCCTGCTGTGGAATGGTAGAACAGATCATGATTTCCTTCTGCATGACATTTGTTCAACTATTTGAAAAATGTTTTCTTAACTCCTCTTCATCTTCTTAAGGCTAAACATGGCCTGTTCCTTCAACCTTTCTTCACAGAACTTAACATTTAGATCTATAATAATCCTTACCATCTTTCTCTGAAGCTGTTCTTTTTTTTTCTGAAACTGGAACTAGACACATTAGTTGAGGTGACTGAATTAAAACTGAAACTGCATTACTTCCCAGCATTTTTAAATTATAATCTGATGCATCTTGAAAAATGTATTTTTCTTTTTTATTATCATATTATGCTGACAGTTCATATTTACTTTTTTATCACAAATTCCAAACCAGGTATTACTCATCCTGACCTTTGCACGGGAAGTAATAGTAATGCTCTATACTGCACTGGTAAGTCCACATTTATGATATTGAGTATGGTTCTAATCTCCACAACACAAGAAAGATGCTGAGGCCCTAGAAAGAGAATAGAGAGGAACAACAAAGGTGAACAGCTAAAGGAACTAGCTACGTTTAGCTTAACAAAGAGAAAACTGAAGGAAGGCATGATAGCTGTCTTCCAATACTTGAAGGGCTGGCACAGGGAAGAGAGAATAATTTTGTCTCATACCACCTGAGGATACGGCAAGGAGCAATGGCTGGAAGCTCATCAGAGGAGATCCAGCCTGGAAATGAGGAATTTCCTGACAGTAAGAATTATTAAGCAGTGGAACATCTTGCCTCAAGGAGCTATGGGTGGTCCATTACTGGAAGGTTTTCAAGAAAAGATAGGACTATTTGTCTGAGATAGTACAAGGATTCCTGCCTTGGGCAGAGGCTTGGACTAGAAGACTTCCAAGGTCCCTTCCTATTTTACGATTCTATACAAGGAGATATATGCATGCCTCAAATTGTAAAACTGAATCTTAATGCTAAGAATACGTTTTATTGCTCCCATCAGTGATTATACTAAAACAGTGTATAGTACTCCATAATAGTTGGGCAACAGATATTCATGTTGCAATTAGAAATAATCATTTTCACATTTTCTTCAACATTCTTATTCAAAGAATCCTGGAGGGGAAAAGAATTTAACCTTTACTATATTATCTAAAACTGAAATCACAATACTGCAACCGGTTTAAACCTATTCCCGAAGAGAAATTAGTAATATATCTATTAATACCTGAAACAAATTTTCAGTGATCACTTACCGGTTCATTTGTTGACAATCCAAGGGCTACATTTACTGAAAAAAGAAGAAAAGGAATTTAGCAAAATTCTTGCAGCGTTAACATCAAAAGTTCAATCAATAAAAGGAATGTGTCTTCATTGCTGAGCTATATTTTTTTTAAAAAAAAAATTGTGGGCAATGAATCAATGAGTTGTAGCTATTCTAATCCACAGCCAGTAATACTGAAAATAAAGCCTTGGGAAGCATAACCTGTATATTTTATATTTTATCTGTAATCTGTATATTTTAAGTTTAATCTTCAAGTTATTGTGTTTAACTTCAAATTATTGTGTTTAATCTTAATGCTATAACACCCAAAAACTGCATGGGATCTTGATTCTTATTTATGTATAGAGAGCATCAAATCAATGAAGTCTCATGAAGATTTATAATTCAATACAAATACACGATTTAATAGTTAACATAAACCAAAATATAAGATAAAGATTAAACACAGTAATCTGAAATCAAAAAGCAGTGGCAATTCACTAGTCATTTGAACTTAAATACCTTCCCAAAAGTTAAGACAGATGATGGCATGAATCTTAATTCTATGGGAGTCTATTTTGTAAGGCTGGAGCAATAACTGAGAAAAAGGATCTCCTGGCCTTCGTTTCCCTTACTTTACCAAAAGTGGGATATAACCCAAAGGATGACTGAGGTGGATGAAGGCAGATTTGCAGGGAGCTGGGTGCTACCTGAAAGAGCCTTGTTGGAATTACTTCCCTGGCTTGAAAAGGCAGCTTCTACATTTTTGGGGAAGAAAGGCGTTCTATGAAAATAGAACAAAATTTTAAAGATTATATTTACTTTTATATTTTTGGGGGTACAGAAAAAAAAATTCTGTTCTTTTCCTCTTTTTCTAACAACTCTACTATCATCCTATGCTGGAAGATTATTTCTTTTTCACGTTATACTTAAAAGATAGAAAAGGGGAAATGGCATTTGGAAAAGACCTTTTTCAACTTACTGAGGACATCTAGTGGCGAAAATTTAATACTGCACCCTCTGGTTACTTGGTTTGAAGATAGCTGACCTTCAAAATACTTTTGAAGAGGAAAGATAAGCTGGGTAACTGTGGGAACTGTGGGGGTGGATATTGCCTAAATTATATTAAATATAGCCTCCACAAAAAAGAAAAAAGAGACTCTTTTTAATTACTATCAAAATGGAGAAACCTCAGTCACATTTAAACTGTACACTTATATTGGAAAAGATCTATGAGGCTACTGCAGAAATATGTGCTACAATGAAAAAGTTTACTACAGAACTAAGATCCAGGGATTTCACTTCAAATGTTCAAATGGACGCCCAGGCTACATCTGACTATGGTATAAATCAAAATATATTAGAAGAGGAGTCAAAAGAGAAAAAAGAGGAACTTATTCTATCTTACAAACCTGCCATCTGCAACTTTAGAGGAACAGAAGAAGCAAAGACTGAGATTTCAAACTACAAAGCAACGACGCTTCAAGGAGGAGAGAAATAGACCTCTAATGCAGAGGATAGAATTTCCATTATTTCAAAGGCTACTGCAAGCAACAAAGATAGATCCTATGGAAACCTTCTTGGCACAGGAAAAAAGCCAGAATTAGACTGAAAAGAAAAATTTTAAATTGTGTAATGGCTTAAAAGGCAATGGTGGATTTATGGTTTGTTTTAAGGATTATGATTTTAGAGTTAGAAGCAAGAAAAAATATAAACATATATACATGAGGGTGATTTTTAGAACGGATATTTTAAATAGTTTAAGAATACCTTTTAGAATAATAAATATATTTTGACGAAAACTAGATATTGGAATTGAAAAAATGTTGATTTTTTAAATTGGGATGGTTTTAATAATTAATGGAATGTTTTAATTTAGTTAGATGGTTTTTTTGTACAATAACATAGATGTGATAAGGTATGACAATCAATTGGATGAAATTTGAAGTTTGTGTAATGAATTGAAGTGAATTAAGGTTTAATATTATTTTTTTAAGTAAGATAGCTATTGTGTAATGGAAGAAGAAATAAATGAGATTGGTGATAAAAGGAGGGATGAGAGAAATTAAGAACTAGAATATATCTGGAAGGGATACCTGAATTGATAACTTCTTGATTTAAAGTTAAATTTGATCTTGGTAATTGTAAACTGATAAAGTTTTAAAACAGGTTTAGTAATAATAGAAATTTAATTTAGAAATGGAATATTTTAAACGTATTATGTTACTTGAGGGAAATAGAGAGGAGACAGTGAATGTATTAAGTTGAGTTGTTTATTTATGTTTTCACATTTGAATGTCTGATTACCCAAACATCATGGTGTGTCCTAAGTACTTCTTTTTTTATTGAAAAGTTTTATAAAAGTTACAATATACACCCTAAAACCCACCCACCCTAAAAAAAAACCCTCTCCCTCCCCCAATTCCCAGAGCTGAGTACAGGGTAACAAATATAATAATCATATTCTAACTAACATTAACCAACTATACAAATAACCAAGTCCATAATGCGCTTTAACTCCTAAGTACTTCTTCTTAAAAATTAAAAAATCAATAAAATATATTTTTTAAAAAAAGAAAGAAAGAAAACAGTGAATTATTTTCAGCCAGGGTGCTATTTATCTGCAGTCTGATCCTAGATCTCTGTCTCTTTCTTCCTAATCATTAAGCCAAGAAATAAGGCAAGTTAGAGAAGACAAAGTATTTGTTGGCCATTAGCGGGTCAGCACCCAACACAACTAGCAGGTGGAGTATTGGATAAATCAGAAAAAAAAGGCTTCTTCTTTAGGACTGAACTTCTTAATTAGCCTTAAAAAAACTATTCCCTTTGATGCTATTCTTGTATCATTTGCTGTCTTGAGTAAATGTGTGTGTATGTATATACACACACACATATACAAAAGGCAGGGAAAATGTAATAATAGTAATATATGGAACGCACATATTAAAACGTTTCCCAACATAATATGAACGTCTTACCAGCAGTTGTGGACTTTCCTACGCCCCCTTTACCAGAAGCTACAAGCAGCACTTGCTTAACTCCTTCAATCGGCTTTTGCTTCGGAAGCCCTCTAGCCATGATCTTGCTACGCTTGTCTTGGAGGACACCATCCTTTGTATTTGATGACTTTAAAGAAAAAGCAAGAATGTACACGTTCAAAGGCAACCTAAGAAAATGTCCCATCTCACAGTTAATTGCCTGCTATTTTTCTTGAACCTCTTACAATTCCATAACTACAGAATCATTACTGTTGCATATGATAGCAAGTCAGGTATCACACTTATGCAACAAGCCAGACAAAAACCTGAGCATTAAAAGCCTACCATTTTTTTCAAATTTGCCGCCACTAGGTTTAGCCACCTTATGGAGAAGAGATTGCCAACCATTTATCTTGTTCGAAATTCCCTTCAGTATTAACAGGAGTTATTCTCGAGCAGCTCCCCTACAGTTTTCAGCGAAGGAAATTGACAATAAGCAATTCACCACTTAGGTGAATCTGACAACTAAGAGTTAAAACGATAGAGTTACATTCTGCGAGGAGCCGCTCGCCTCAAATCTTACAGGAAATGAAGGAAACTAAGCCGGAAGGGTCACCCGTGAGAAACTGATACATAACTAGACACTTCCAGGCACCAGTTCTTGATAAATTACTTCCGGTACAATAAAGCTAGAGCGGTTCTTTTGTTTTTTATCTCGAGGAACTATAGAGTAGACTCTATTTGCTAGAACGGCACTTGCAGAGGAAACACTTCCCGCGTTTCCCTTTGCTCACTGCGTTTTATTTCATAGGTTTCTCACCCTTGGCAACTCAGCATAGTGGCTGATGAATTATTGGAGTTAAAGTTCACACATCTTAAAGTTGTCAAGGTTGAGAAACACCGATTTAATGGGTTACTTCCTTAAGGGTCTGGAATCTTTTAAAGACTGCGAGGGCAAAACCTTTTCCAGCTATTCCCATCAAATATTACAGCTGTGGAAGGATGTACACAAGAAACCTCGTCTGCGTTATTGGAGACTTTCCCCACCAGGTCTCCTGAGAATTAGAAAAGCAAACCTCTCGAGGGCCCAGTAGGCATCTTTAGGACACAGGCACAGAAGGGAAGGGTCCTCCGGTCATTCAAACCTATTCAGAACGCAGTAAAACGTGTTCACCACTTTTTCCCAACGGGATTGGAGCCACGGTGAGATTGTTCCCACAACATTGCAAGAGGTGTAACCCCCAATATTATTAATCTCTTAAACAGCCTGCTATAGCATCAGTTTTAAATTGCTTTTTAAAGTTTTTAGTTCTTTTTTATACAGCCCACCTTCTCCTCCCACTTACACAAAAAGCAAGTGACCTAGCACAGTTGTGCTAGTTTACCCAAGAAAGGAAATACATTTTAAAAATGATTGGAAGGACTGCCTGCTGCCCCTTATGTTGCTTGGATGTAAAACATGGAGTCAAAAAGAATAAATTTTCCTCTAAAGTACATGACATTTATGGTAGAGGACAGGAAGACCTGGAGGAACGTTGTCCATGGGGTCGCGATGGGTTGGACACGACTTCGCAATTAACAACAACATGAAATTTAAACATAGCTCTTTGGGTAACCATGTTTTTCCCATAGTAACTAGATCAAAGATTGAGAACTATACCCGAAATGATGTCCCAAAAAAGTCTGGGTCAGTTTCCTAACTCCCATCAGAAAACAAAACCCTTTTTCAGCCTCCTATTAAGTAGAGTGCTCTATAGGCATCCCAGGTATTTCTTGCCTTTTTTAACCAGAGTCCTGGAACCAGCTTCACTTATTTCCCCAAATTTATTGTAATCCTCTTGAGTTCCATAAAAATGCAGAATCTTTTATTTAGTCTTCCTTTTTTCTTTCAGTCATTTGATTGTGTCACAGAACATTTAAAAGAGACTAAAAAGAGTTGAGTTTAATATTGTCCCATAAATGTGTCTAATTTACAAAACAGAAGGAACCAGTTAGATTCTCTTGTGTTGTCAAGCTTTGTGAAATAATTCTAAATTCAGCTACTATTTTCAATGGACAGTTTGTACTGCTTTCTAGTTTTGTACATGTGTGAAGGCAGAGAAACGAATTGTCTCTAAACGAGTCTATAGCCATGGGGTACAGAGAAAAGAATACAGAAAAGAAGTGGGAGGAGTTTTCATCTTGGAGGAGGAAGTGGAGGAGGTGCTTGAGAAAAAGACTAGAGGCCGCGTTTGCGTTCCTCTGAGTTGCCCGTTTGTGTGTGTGTGTGCATTTATGGCTGACCCAAACCTGAATCCACTAGCTCGTGTGCTTTTGCAACAGTGTCTGCACGCGCAGCTGCAAGTGAAGCCTGCTGAGCCGGATTCCGAAGCCAGATGGGTAGAGGTAATATTAGCATTGCGAATCTTGCCGGTTGATGGCCAAATTCTTTGCTTTCCTGCATGCTTGTATCACTGTAATCCTACAGACCTGTCCCCGAGATCCGCAGTTCATATCGCTATCTTTCAACACTGCAAATTAGATTTTCATGTTGTATATAATCTGCCTTCTTGAAATAAACAGGAACTCGTAATATGCATTATTGCAGTAATCCGTAACGAATTTTTCATAATACGGAAGTACTTCACCTGGTTATTAACATGCCTGCCCTCTGGTGCCCAAACTAACTTACTAGAAACATTTCCGGCACCGAAAAATATACTTAATGGTTTAGGATTTTACCGCATGTAAAAATTCGCTTGCTTTGACCAGTGTGACATCTACTGACATAACTCGTTAAGATTGCACATGTCTCTTCTGCAGCTTGTGGTAAATCCATTGAATGATATTTTCAAAAATATGTAGGCACCTTCTGATTTTTCTTATGCAGTTGATAGAAACAGCAGCCATATGTTTATTCTGAGCATATTTCAAAATACGTGTAAAAATATGATACAGGTCTTTAGGACGTCTGGAACATAAAAATATTTAGTACTTTGTCACTAAAATATACTGTATTTCTAAATGTGTGATATTTGGAATTTCAATAGGGAAGACTTCTAATTTAATCCAGCATAAACTCTTAGTTTCCTTTGTTTTAAAAATGAAGCTTTGGCATCCTTAGCATGCCAAACAAAACAAACAAAAACACAGAAACACGAACATTTTATCAATGTATTTTGAAATAAATTATTTTTCCTGACTACTCAGTAATCAGGAATCAAACCTCATTTAACTTGGTGAATCTTATTTGTTAATCGAAATTTGTAGGATTGTGCACCTGTACTATTTGGACTCAGAATATTGTTTTTAAATTACAGTAAACAGTAAAACACACTCCAAATCAATCAATATATAACAATACTTCAATATATGTTTGTCATTTTATATAGATCCAACGTGGTCTTATTATCTATGTATGTTTCTTCAAAGGGGCTGGTGAAGATATTATTCCCAAAATGGGTAGGTTTCCAAATAAAATATTCTTAGAACTAGTGATTAAAAGCAGTGTATGTATTGTGTTTGTGTGCAAACAAAAGTTTGTTCTGTGAGAAAGGTTAACCAGGACAGACATTTCCTTCTAAACTACAATTGTACCTATGTCCAGTTCTTGTTAATAGAGGCAATGAACATCATTAATAGAATTCCTATATTTATCTTTAGATCTAAGTATCATTGATATGTAAATTTAATTTTTTAAACTAATTTTTGTATGGTTTGATTTGGAAATAAACAGGGAAGTGGCAACAACACAATTTTATTTATTTTTATTTATTTATTACATGTTTATGCCACCCATCTCAGTCAGGTGATTGTCAGCTGTTTACAGGTTATAAAACAAGAAGAAAAAAATCATTAAAACATTAAAACTACACAGATTAAGATTTTAAAAACTATACTAAAACCAGAATTAAGAGATGGATGGGACGGGGATGAGATTTTCTTACCTCATCAACCACTTCCAGCAATGTGCTGTGCTGTGCTGTACAATTCCTCTTCTAAAAGTACAGATAAGGCCAAAATCCTTTGTTGCTTCTGAGGCCCTATATCCAATATTGTATAAAACGCACTCAGCTAAATCATCGGCAAATGCTTTCCATCTAGAAGCATCCTTTGGTTGGCTTTGTAATTGCTTCCGACACGAATACAACAGGCAGCTAAATCATAGGCACACAATTTACTTGTCAGTGCCAAAAAACTCCACAAACCTGAGCCAGTCCAATTTTCACTACTATCCAAGCCTGCAGAAGTTAGACAAGTACCTCTGTTTTTATAGTTTTTAAATTGTTTTGACAAAATCAATTCATATATATTTATTAATTAAATAAATAGGAAGTAGTCCTTAGAAATAGTTTAGTTAGACCTTACTTCAACTAGTAAATAAATATTGAGAATGGCATCTCAATATTACAGATAGTTGTTTGAAAAAGGGTCATGAGACTTATTGTTTGCTGGAGAGAAACTTTTAGAGAACAGTTCTGTGTAGAAAAATCAATGCTTCAGGGAGCCAGTAGAGGGAACTAGCATGTAAATAAATGTTCTATTTGAGCCGATATAAAAAACTTCACACTACTTGCATTTCAATTTATACAGTAGGTGCTGTCATCGCTGCATTTGACCATTAAGAATTGATGCATGAATATTTTCATTTGTTTTCTCCTCCCTGTTCTTTCCTTTGCATCTTGTTTTTTAGACTATGTGAGCAGGACCTGTATTATTTTACTGATCCACAAACTTGTTCTTTTAAGGTTTTTTTATACTAAAAGCTAAAGTATAAATGTGTTCAATAAATAAATATAATTTAAACATGCATTATTGATAATGTATGATATGTTTGAACCTGCTAATCAATAATTCTCCCCTATTGTCTTTTTGTAGTCAATACAATCCTGAATGTGAAATTAAGCGAATGTGAAGATGGCAAATATGTGTCTGTTTTGGATTTGCCAGGCAACATACTTGTAATACCACAAGGCACACTGGGTGGTAAATTGAAAGGAAGAAGAATGCAATATCATGCTAACATTGAAAAAGAAATTGGGTTAGAACTCTATTCCCAGTTTGTGATTCAGTGTGAAAAACAACTGGCTGCTAATGTCAAATGTGCAGAAGCTGATGTAGTCCTGAAGCATGGCACATATGGAAACCGACAAGTACTGAGAGTAGATACAAATGGACCTTTCACTCATCTGATTGAGTTTTGAGAAATATGCGCTACAGGTAACAATATCCTTAACTTGATGCTAATGTTTGTGTGCAAAGAAAATAGAAACGTCTACCAATAACTTAGGTCCACATGGATATATTTCTTTTGTACTCTAGAAAGAGTACAGAGAAGAGGAACAAAGATGATCAGGGGACTGGAGGCTAAAACATAAGGAACGGTTGCTGGAATTGGGAATGTCTAATCTAATGAAGAAAAGAATGAGGGGTGACATAATAGCAGTGTTCCAATATCTCGGGGGCTGCCACAAAAAAGAGGGAGTCAGGCTATTCTCCAGAGCACCTGAAGGCAGGACAAGAAGCAATGGATGGAACCTAATCAAGAAGAGAAGCAACCTAGAACTAAGGAAAAATTTCGTGATAGTTAGAACAGTTAATCAGTGGAATAACCTGCCTCCATAAGCAGTTAATGCTCCAACACTGGACGTCTTTAAGAAGAGGTTGGACAGCCATTTGTCTGAAATGGTATAGGGTTTCCTGTCTGAGCAGGGGATTGGACTCGATGACCTCCAAGATCCCTTCCAACATCATCATTATTACTATTAACTACATGATCTTATATTTCTTCTTTATCAAACTTTGAAAACAAACAATAATTCTATCACTAAAAACAAAAAGCTACAACAGAAGGTTGTTTTGGTTCATGAATGTTTTCATCCAACTCTTAACCTATATAGTTTCTTTTCTGCCCACACATACTTACACACACACACACACACACACATACACAAACACACATGCACACTGTACACACACCCTATTAACCCTATCTATATACACTTACACACACACACACACACACACAGAGACCATATATTTCCTATTACGTCTAACCTATATTCTATTACTATAACAAAATTTCTTCTGCTGTACACTAGACAGTTTGATGACTTTGGGCAAACCATTTCTGAAATCTTGACAAAAAAACTGCAGGGTCTTGTCCAGGCAGTTTCCAGGAGACTCAGAGGTGCATGTATGCACACATATATATTTTTTTAATAAATAGAAAAAGGATAATTAGAATTTTGATTTTGAAAAGTAAAAAAAAGGTCCAAATAAGGTTTATTATGATTAATTATAATAAACCTTACCATGGAAAAGTGCTTTTTAAAAATCTTGAACATGATAGAATGAGACTTTGAAGGTTGGACACTAAATATTAAAATTAAAGGAGAATAACAAATGTGATTTACTAATACAGAATGAAACAAAATATTTTAACATTGGATATATTGAAAGACATTTTTGAACCAGGGACCTAATTTTAAGCAGACCTAAGTCTGCTTCTTAGATAGTATTAAAAATGGTTTGTAAGAGGAACAAGTTTTACCTGAAAACATTGAGACCTATTTTAAAGTATATTTAGTAATGGCAGCCTACAAGAATGACATAGAAAAAGATGCTATACTAGACTACAAAGGAAACCCGCTTATGTCTTATTAATTAAAAGAAACATACAATAAAAATTAAGACAGTGACCAGGATAATTTTCCTACATTGGATTTACAAAAGAGACTTCAATCAATCAGAATAGAGCTGGAAGGGATATTGGAGGTCTTCTAGTCCAACCCCCTGCTCAAGCAGGAGACCCTATACCATTTCAGACAAGTAACTGTCAAGTCTCTTAAAAATCTCCAGTGATGAAGCAAGCTGTTCCACTAGTTAATTGTCTTCTTTCCTTGATTAGTTTCCATCCATCATTTCTTGTCCTGCCCTCTGGTTCTTTGGAAAATAAGTTGACTCCCTCCTCTTTGTGGCAATTTCTTAAATACTGGACTACTGCTATCATGACCTCCCCTTCCCCAGTTCTTCTTTTCTCTAGAGTAGCTAAAACCAAATCCTGCAACCGTTCTTCATATGTTTTAGTCTCCAGGCCTTTAATCATCTTAGTTGCTCTTCTTTGCACTTTTTCCAAAGTCTCAACATCTGTTTTGAATGAGATGACCAAAACTGGATGCAGCATTCCAGATGTGGCCTAAGGCTTTATAAAGCAGTCCTGATACTTCACATGATTTTGATTCTGTGTCTCTACTTATACAACCAAGGATTGTATTAGCTTTTTGGCTGCTGCTGCACACTGCTGACCCCTTTTTAAATGATCATCCACTAGGACTCCAAGGTCCCTCTCACAGTTACTGTTTTCGAGCCAGTTTTGCCTAATCTGTACTTGTACTTTTGGTTTTTCCTGCCTAACTGTAAATCCTTGCTTTTCTCCACATTAAATTTCATTTTGTTGGATAGGGCCCATTGTTCAAATCTGTCAAGATCTTTTTGGATCCTGAGCTTTTCTTCTGGGGTGTTGGCTATTCCTACCACCTTAGTGTCTTATGCAAATTTGGTGAGTTCCACTTCTAGCTGCTAGAAGGGGACGACAGAGAATGAGGTGGCTGGATGGAGTCACTGAAGCAGTAGGTGTGAACTTAAATGGACTCCAGAAAATGGTAAGAGGACAGGAAGACCTGGAGGAATGTTGTCCATGGGGTCACGATGGGTCGGACATGACTTCACAATTAACAACAACTTCTAGCTTTGAAGAATTTTCTTAGAAAGCACAAAGAAAAAATAAAATTCTAAAACATCATTTGAAGATCAAGGTTGTTAAAAGTAAAAATAAGGAATATAAAGTTGGTTTATTCAATGTTTATTAATGTTAAAACAGATACATTGGTATTTCCAGTAGACTTTTGTTGATCAGGCCTAAAATGACAAGACTTTAGGGATTTATTAAATATTTAAATTAAATGAGAACATTTAAATGTTCCCATATTTAACTAAATTATTTAATTAAGCATCTGATTCCCATATTTAATTTTTACTTCCCAGATTTATATGTGAAGAGGAGATAATTTGTCTTCTAAGGCATGTCAAACTTGCGATGTCACATGATGTTGCACGACATATCAGGACTTTTTCCCCATTGCCAGCAAAGGGGTGGGCACGGTTTTGGCGTGACGCATCCAGCCCGTAGGCCAGCAGTTTGACATACCTGTTCTAAGGTGATAAATTACTAAAATTATTTATATTTGTGATAAAGTCACTTCTTTATATATTTCTTTTTCATTACTACATTCTTATTTTCTTATGCATCTTTTCTTACATTTTTTTGTATTTTTATCTTTGCAATTATAATTCTTAATAAAAATACTTTTTAATTTTGGAGATTTTTGCCATGACTTTTGGCAGGATTATGGCATCAATGGATGCTGGATTGTAGCATGATCAATCTCTTCTTTTCCTAATAAGGACCTAAATTCCACCTGTCTCCTTTGTTGATGCATTCAGGACATAGGTATAACTTCTGTAATTCTTGGCTTTCAAATGAATAAATTGAAATAAAATATGGTTCTCACATTGTCTCCCTCCCAATGCTAAAATTGACTCATGATGGTAAAGGGACACTAGGATTTATCTGAATGAAGTTCAGATTTTTAAAAATTGCACTGCACATTTGCTCTTTGGATCATTCTGGACTTGCAGTTCCTACTGGAAAACAGGTGGAAAGCAGGTGGAGGCTGTGGTAAGAGAGCCTTTGACCAGCTCTGGCCAGTTGTTGCCTTTTCTGCAATTAGAGGCATTGATTATAGTAACTGCAATAACTCATACCCTTGTCACTTGGGTATGAGTAGTCATAGTCATCTGGACTATATAGAACAGGAATGTCAAACTGCTAGCCCACAGGTGGGACGCGTCAGGATGAAACCGCGCCCACGCATTGCCAAAAATAGGGGAAAAGCTCCGATACGTCGCACAACATCACATGACGTGAGTTTGACATGTCTGATATAGGTTGTCTTGAAACCACCTGAAATCTTTGGCTCACACAGAACCTGTCATGCCTATTATACCAATGGTATGTCATTGTTAAAAGAGCAATAGTTATTGATTTGTTTCCAAATGCAATTCAAGGTGCTAGCTATAACCCAAATATTTGGAGGCACAGATTAGCATCTTTCAGGCTGTTTGAAACAGAATCTGCACATCCAAGCTGTACAAATGAACTAAACGCATTTTGTGAACAGAGGCTGTCGTATTGTGTTAAATGCCATGGTTCTTCACATAATATGCTGAGTCATGTTTAGATAGAGTTTATGAATTTATGATCTATGTTCAGTGACACATTAACTCATCACAGAATTCACATAACAGAAATGACATTTAGCTTGGCAAGTCTTATGAACGGGATTCAGGTTTGAAGCCACTGAGAAATTCAAGCAAGGTGGAGTGACTTGCCTTTCAAGCTGAAAACTGGGCCCGTTTCCAAGAGCGCATTGAAGCACAAGTGCTTTCTCAGCCCAGCTGGGAAAACAAGAGACCCCCACAGGATTTGAGGCTTGAAAACCAAAGTAAACAGCTTCGTTACAGTACTGAAAAAAAAAAATCAAGCCATTCCTCAACTTCCAGTTCAGGATAATTGAAATTTTAAAAGATGTACAGCACCCACGCTTTAGAGTAGACACAGGGAGGGTAACTGTGACAGGAGCGCCACAGAGCGTGGCCGTGCAAGTGGCTGCAGAGAAGGAGTCGCGCAGGGAGGAAGAACGAAATCAACAACTTCCCTTTAGGTCTGAGAAAGCAGCTTCCCAGCGTTGCTCGGCCGCTTTGGCGGAGGGATCGGAGCCGCTCGATGGCTCCGGGACCGATTAGGCGGCCCTAAAAGCCAATTCAAGCGGAGAAGGGGTAAGAGGACGAAGGTGGCCCCGCCAGCAACTCCTCCTCCTGACTGAAGGGAGCGTGCGGGTTTCCCCGGAGAGGCAGAGGCGGAGGGCGAATTCCGATCCCGGCGCGGTGGCAGCCGGAGCAGAACCCCGCCCTGTGCCGCCAGCCCGCCAGCTTTCCCCTGGCAGAGGCTCCCTACAGGCCGGTCAGTTTCCCTGAGTTGTCGGAGCTCCTCGTTGCCCTCCTTTTCCTGGTGCCGGACGGGAGAGGCTGGCTGGGCTCGCCCACTCGGGAGGCGGCGGCTGCAGATGGGTGAGAAGAATCTCTTTCCTTAGGGAGCGTTGGCGGCTGGCAAAAAGCGTGCCGAGCTTGGGGACACGTCAGGAGAGAGAAGCCACATTGTTAACTCAGTTTAACTGATGCGGGGGAGAGACGGCGGGCGGCGAGAAGCTCTCCAGGGAATGATTGTAACTAAAGGTAGGCGCTCATCGAAACTATATAGTGTGAGTGATATGTAATCGAGGAAGAGATGTAAAAAAAAATTAAAAAGAGGAAGAGGTGTAAAAAATAACTTTTTAAAAGGTTATGGATCAATGCATGCCAGACTCTGTTAAATGGGAATAACTTTTTTTAAAAAAGAAAAATCTCTAGGTCTGCAGCCCAAGGAAAATACATTTGGGGGAAGTATGAATGGATCTGATACTGTACTGTGGTTCCTATTTGCAGAATTAAAATATTCAGCAAATATTCCAAAACAGGGTGGTTTTTGATTGTTGATGTGTTATATTCTCTCTCTCTTTTAGTTTCTTTGATATTCAAAGTAATCCATTATGAATATGGAACAGGATGATGCTTGTAGTTCTGGGTACCTGTAGAGATTAGGGAGGGAGAGGGAGGGAGGGAGAGAGAGAGAGAGAGAGAGAGAGAGAGAGAGAGAGAGAGAGAGAGAGAGAGAGAGAGAGAGAGAGAAGTTACCATGTGATAACACAAATGCTATGACTTGCATACTTGTATCCGATGTAAGGATGGAAATAAGTTATAGCATTTGTGTGATGATATAGTATACATGGCATCATTTTGGAATTCACACTTTGCTGTAGACCCTGCAAGGGTATAATTTTAATAACTATGGAATATGTTCCAATTTGTAGTAATACAAGAAATATCAGTATAAGAGTATTTCTATCTCATGGAAGGGTCTTTGTGCTCTCTGATCTTGGTTGTTCTCCTGCAGACATTTCATTACCCAACAAGGTAACATCATCAGTGACTAACACTGATGATGTTTTCTAATTGGATAATGAAATGTCTGAAGAAAACATCTAAGATCAGAGAGCACCAAAGACCCTTCACAACAAGAAATATCACACACACACACACACCCTTTATCCTGTTGCTTCATATAAAAGTTAAAGGAATCAAATTTGAAGTTATGGAAGTTTTGAAAAATTTTAAGTTCAAGTCATTTTCCATACTGTAATTAACAAAGTATTTAACAAAACATTTAATTTTGTAATAAACTTTCACATACAACTGTTATCTTTAAACAATACAGTAACACAAGTTGGTGTTGACTCTAAACGACCCTATAGTTAGATTTTCTCCATGAGAATATAAGATTGACTATTCTTTCTGAAGGTCCTATTTGATATATACTATACAAGAGCATATAGTTTACATGTTTGTTAAACATTTCAAATTGATTTCATTTTTAGGCCCACTTTTTAAAAAAGCACCTCTAAATCCCAAGAGGAAGATTGGAGATCTTAACAGAGATCAACAGAAAGTCAGAATAGACAGAACAATAAAAGCTAGTGTGACATGGGTCATAAAGTCAGATAGGCTGGAGAAAAGGAAAGGGAAAAAGTATTGAGTGAAATTCATGAATAGACCAGTTTATCCCTGACTTTGCAGCACAAATTTATTCCATGTTTCACAATATTGAAAACCAAGAAATGTTTTTAATGAGTACCTCAAATTGCGGTAGAAAAATATTTATTGTATAGAATACCAACATTTAGCAGCTAAAACTTTTTTTTTTGTCAAATAACCAAATTTATTTTGAGATAGAACAGCCATTTTGACCCATTCTCACAGAAACTTAGCTAGTGGCATAGTTTAGCTGAAAACATAGTGTCTACATAAAAGGAATTGTGGGACTTGTGTAAGTATTTCTTTTTTTAAAAAAAAAAGTATTAATTACATAGGTACTATTGTCTATCTCCTAACTGGTTTAGAAAAATGCTTAGCTTTACTGAATGGATTGCACTGGATTGTATACTCAGATGCTAAATGCTATATATTATTCAACTCCTTTCTTTAACATAGCAAGAAAACTTGATACAAGACTATTTTTGTTTCTTACATTTACTTTTTCATTAGATTTATATTTTGTCTCTTTTCCAAGAATTCAAGATGGTATGTAACAGTCCATCCTCCATTTTTTCCTTTATAATGGAATAACTGGTAATAAGAATGTGTTGTATAGTTACAAGATTATAAAATAGTTCCTCTAATTACCCTTTCAAATCATTTTAACATTTAATTATAGTCTGTCAATCACATTTTTCTTCAGAATATTTTAATCTGCTCTCCCCTTTCTTCCAGATACTTACAATATTCTATGCCTCCTATCATGATCAGTCTTTTATTAGGGGATTTTCTTTGCTTAAGGAGAACAGGTCTGAAATATTATGTAGTTATGCAACTATTCAGGGTCTCCCATGTCTGCAGATACTTTTTAACCACATAAGGATGGAGATCATTGTTAGCAGCATATTATTCCAGAAGTATTTTTATGTATGTTCTTTTTTAAATCATTAAAATTTCATGGTAATGAACTAAAATGAGAATTTGGGTAATGGTTCTATTGACTGATTATATTGATATCCTTTCTTTGCCAAGATTTAGTGTTCTTAATGAATGCCAAAACTAGGTACACACTTTTTTCTTTCTTAGGACTACCATGTAATTAAATAGAATTATAATTTATGCTTCATAGATTTGAGTTGACTGTGAGAATTGAATATGGTCTTATTATATAGTTAAGCAACAATGACATATTTTTACAGAAAAATTACAGATGTTAATAATTTCAGGTAAGGCAGTCGTTCTCAACCTGTGGGTCAGGACCCCAGTTGGGGTCGAACAACCATTTCATGGGGGTCGCCAAACAAAGCAGTCCACCATTTTTTCCCCTTTTCCTTAGCTATGCTACTCCCTTTTATTCTATTGGCTTTTGAAAGCCAATAGAATAGACTCTCTTGAATAGAGTCTAATTCTATTGGCTTTCAAAAGCCAATAGGAATTGTCCAGGCTGTCTCTGCCCTGCTGAGCCCGCCAAAAGTCCCATTTTGCAAACGGTGCTGCACCAGTTGAGTAGTCCTTGAGTTACGACCGGTTGAGTAGTCCTCGACTTACGACCGGTTGGGGGTCGCGGCATTAAAAAGGTTGAGAACCACTGAGGTAAGGCAAGAGAAATGTCAAGATAGAATTAAAATATATTTGAATTTTTTTAATGAATATTCAAACATTCGGAAACTAATCCACAAGCTCGGAGAACAAACCTTCATCCTCATCCTACACCCAAGCTACAGATATTTTCCCTATTGCAAATATGAATTTTTATAGTTTGCAGTAGTCATTGATGTGTAATCTTTTCATGTTGCAAACCTTTAATATACTTCGAATATTCATCCTATTTATTTATTACAGTTATCTTGTGGGAGGAAAGTTCATTATGTCATTGATATGTATGTTACTGTAGTTAATCATGAATAGAATGTCTCTTTTATGAGCAGAAGGGAAAATTGCACCACAAAAATGCTAGGGCCTCTGCTGCTGTTTCATCCAATAGATGTTTGCTCAGATATGTTCCTCATTTGGTTAAGTAGCACTTGTTCTCAAGGAAGTGCATAGGGATTTTCAAACTCAGGGATGAATCACATTTATACAGTTCTGAAGTGAGATAATCTTAGTTTATTATATACAAATCAAAAATAAATTGGGTCATATTTATATATGGTGCATCAGTAGATTCATATATTGGAAGGGTTTTGAATTAGAAAAGCTAATTCCCAAATTGTTGGGTGGTACAACAAGTTGATTCCTACCACCTCTTTTAAACATTCCCATTCACATGTCATTGGTAACAATTCGGTATATGTAGAATGTGCACCCATTTATTCATGTCATACCTAATGAATCTAAAGAACTTACTGCACTGGTGGCCTGTCATGGTTCCGATAGATGAGACCAACTAAAACAGAACTCTGAGGCTTGAGTTTTCCTCTAAGAACATGTTTATTAGCTACAAAGCATCTGCATGGTCAAAAGTAAAACCAAGACTAAAGTTTCCTCCAAAAAGTTACAATATTACAAAGTTAAACTTCCCACCCCAGTACTATGCAATCAACTACATTTCTCAATAGAATAGTTTGGTGGGCTTTCTAACAAAATGCCCAGCCCCCAGTCTAATGAACAGAAATGACCTTAGTTTGGACTTCCAATTCTGGAATGTGGCGACGCTGGTCATGCCTGGAAACTTCTCTCCAGGCCGTCCAGCGTTTCCTTCGCTGGTAGACCCTTTAGGGGATCGAACGTCGCCCTGGAGGGGTGACCACCAAGGAGGAGGCCAGCTGGTAAGATAGGGGAGGGCGGCAGCTTCCCCCGAGTCTCTAGCTTCTCCTTAGGGCCGACAGAGCAAAGATCGGCCTGCCGATCATCCTGCTGCACCAGCCGAAAGTCACATCGTCATCTAAGCGTTAAAGACCCACCGCGGATGATCCGGGTGAGACCCCTTTTGTTCCTCCCCATACCCCTGCTGTTTTTGCCTGTAGAAGCTGTTTGTGCTATTATTTCCCCGTCTGGAGAAAGCGGCTTTAGTAATCGTGGGAACAAACGCGGTTTACAAAAAGGACAGAAAAAATAAATAAATATTCATTTAAAGACTATATTCTATTCCTACTTACATTGTGCTGTAGAAAAAAACTGGTTTTTGTGCTTTTTGGAGCGGTATTATATTGGCAGAGTATTTTTTTTCTATTCTCCCTTTAAAGATAGAAAAAAGGAAGAAATGGCATTTGAAGAAGTCTTTGTAGCTCACTGAGGACACGTACTGGTCAAAAGTTAATATTGGATTGTTTATTTGGAGATGAGAGAGCTTTGGCCTTCAAACTGTTTTTCAGGAAAAAAGATAATTTGAGCTAGCTGTGTGATTTGTGGGGGTGGATAATGTTCAACTGTAACCTTCAATAAAAAGGAAAAGGATTCTTCTTCAACTATTGCTAAAATGGAGAAGCCTCAATCACATTTAAACTGTAAACATATACTGGAAAAGATATATGAGGCTAAAGAAGAAATATGTACTACAATAAAATAGGCTACTACAGAATCAAGAGCCAGAATCTCTACTTTAAAACTTAAAACTGACTTCCAGATTACACTTGACTACTCTACAAAACAGATTATACAAGAAA